ATTTTATTCAATAAATGCTATTATGGAATATAAAAAAAATGTAGATTGACTTATATTTTCAAAAATTAAGTTTTAAGCTGTTTAAAATTATTAACAGCGGTAAGTATATTAAACATTTTCTTAATTATTTTTTTTGAGGCCACTCACTCTAAAATTTTTATATGAAGAGTTCTTGGTACTCCTTACAAAATATCTGACATTTGGGTAAAATATTTAAGACCATTAAGTGGTATTTATCTAAGTTTCAAGTGCTTAAAAATACAAATACATTTATATAATAGAAGAAAAATAGTTTTAATGAAGAATTTTTCAAAATTTTTATAAGCCATATTTTAATTTTAAAAAAATAAGAATTTTTAAATAAATGTAAATGCCATTCTTTTCGGTTTGCGATTCTTTTCTTTTTTTCTATAGAAAGGCACCAATCGGAAGAACGAAATATAAAAATTATTTATTAGAAACAACTTAATAAAAGATTTTAGCTTACGAATCCCAAACCAATTAATAAAATATTAATTTTTGAAAATTAAGAAAATATAAATTTCAAATTATTTTTTTCTTCAAATATAATTAACTATACAATACATATATTAGTAATAGAATTAATAATTTAATTTTGTGAGAAAATATAATATTTTAAAAATGTATTCTCTTTTTAGTGTTTGAGTTTGAGTGTTCTAAAATTTGCATCTTATTTTTATACAACTAAAAGATAAAAATATATTTAAAATATTAATAGGTATAAATTTATATTACCTTTATTTGATTGGTTGTCCTCGGTAAACTGTACGGTATGTACCGATTTAATATCGAAGTGACATTATTTACGATTTAATCTCTATTGTTTGGCCTTGGATTTATTGACTTATATTTGTTTTTCATGACCCCGGAAAAGTTTTCAATAGGATTTATATGAGGTGAATATGGCGTAAGATATTCAATTCGATTTTTATAGCTATCTTGTGTATTACGGCATTATCCATAATGATAATTCCATCATTTGGAAGAATTGTTACTACTCTCAGATAATTGAGAAAAGCAACCCATTATAGGGTCTTTCAATAATTCGATAGGTTATAAGGCCCGAATTCCTATCCTACATAAAATGCTAACGTTCTTGCCTTTGGAAGATGGAATTATCAAAGTTGGTGTGACATTGTAGGGGTCCAAGCATACACAGGTATAACATTTAGGTTTATACCTGTTTCATCCAGAAAGTTCCATAGGAATGTTTAGCATTTTAAGGCAGTAGGTTTGGCGATTTTGAACTGCTCCTTTTGTATTTCGTCGTTCTTTTTCCCAGCCATTTTTTTAGACTATCTATTTTTTGAATATGTTTTCGGATGGTCCCCTCATTTTTGGGGAAACCTTGAGGTAAATTTTCTATGATATCTTTGATAGTAGACGTGTTATTATCCATTAAAAGATTTATCACCTTTCTTTCGATTTCGGATGTATCTTTTTTTTGCAACCCTTTTTTGGATTTGATATTGCTTCAATGGTTATAAATTCTGTAAAGGTATCTTGCCTTAATTTGTTTACTGAGGCTATTGGTATATATGTTTAGCAATATCCTTTATTTGCATTCTTTCCATTTCGGACTGGAATTAACGATTTTGTTAAATTCCAGTTTTCTCTTTATTCCAACAATTATATTTACTTTTTGGGTTATGAGATGGAGTGCTTTTATAGGGTTTATTATTGTAGAATTAGCACTTATGGCAGATTGCGAAAATGCTGGTTAGATAAAAAGGAATCAAATATTGATGAATATTTGATAATATTTTAATTATTAAATAAAGTGGAATTTCTAAAACTATCATTTGGTATTATTGGATAAAATTTTATTAATATTAAACATTTTAAATTTAAAAAATTATTTTTTTGTAAATAAAAAGAAAATTTTTATTATCTAATTAATAAATTTTTATTCTATTAAATAAATAGGCCTACAAAAAAACGAGAATAAATAATTCATTATTCTTATGCGTACGAATAATAAAATCATTATTCGATTCGATCCTAAAAATTTTCTAAAGCTTATAAAAAATAGATTATATTTTGCAAAAAAAAATATATAAATAGATGTGGATATTTTAAAATGACACTTTTAAGGATTCTACTAAAACTAATTGTCATTAGCATTTCAAAATCTACAAAAAATAGCAAACGAAATAAAACCTAATGATTTCATAACGTTATCCTAATAATTGGCCAAAAATACTTTTTAGAATTAGAATTGCTTATAAAAATAATAAATTCTTTTCTATAATACGTTATTTCTTCGATCTAACATTCTAAAATATCAAATATTTTTAAAAATGCACAATGATCTCATTTTATAGACATCAAAATATAATACGGAAAAAATATGATTATGCTAGATCCGAATTTGTCAACAACTAGTTTTCCAAGTAAGTTTCTAATGGTTTCTTCCTTCAAAGACTTTCTATTCTTCATTTCCATATTTGTCCTTACTGAGAATAAGCGCTTACATTAAGTCGAAGATCTCTGAATGGACAATATATAAGTTGCCATTTTTGACAACAAGGGAAAATGATCACAACGCGGTCTCCACCATTCTAATGGGCTCTTACTAGAAGCTATTCTTATTCATTAAGATATGTTTCAACCTCACATATTGATGAGATGATATTCTGTTTGAATATTTTATCCATTTTTGACTGGACTATTGTTTTATCAGGTGAGTATTATTATAATTAACTGTATTCATTATATTTTCTAATGAAGTTGTTTTCTTTATGCTATGCTATATGAGGTAGGTAATTGTTCAAAGAATTCCATTATAAATAATTTCAAATTCTCGAATAATAAAAAATTTAATACTCGACAAATACTTTTTCTCATGATTCATATTCGATTCGAATTGAATAATTGTGTTATCTATATTCGTAATACGAATCTAAGCGAATCGAATAATAATCCGTTTTAGACCTATACATAAATAAGGTATTTCTATTTTTTAAATATTTTTTAAACATTTCAAACTATTTAATATACCACTTAATGATCTTTGTTTTTAATATATTACCAAATAAAACACCTGCGAAGATCCTGTATAGCGCATCTAATATTAAAGTTATTTATAAAAAAAAATTTTTTTTGAAAAATGACAGACCCACTTTGAGACCCTAATCTCCGGTTCTAGTAGAGTTAAGGGGTTAATATCTTGGATTCGTCAATTACACTACTTCATTAACTTATATGCTAAATTTTACAAAAATCTGAGATTGTTGGGTAAGTGATTGCCCAAAAGGGCTTCGGGCAGGGCCGGTCCTATTTTTTTAAAAAAAGTCGGGTTTAATAATTTTGAAAAACTTTGAGCCGGGCCGGGCTTAAATTTTTTTAAATATAATAGCATTCAATTTTGTGAAATAAATTGATATATTTCAATTTTTTTCTTCAAAAAACAAGGCGCCAATATCTTCTCTTTATTTTTGTAATTATAGAAATATTAAATTTTTCTATATTTAGATAATTTCGGGCAGGACATTTCAGGATAATTAAAAAATAATTTTGTTTGAGGTAGGGCACGACAAATTTTTTTTTAAAAATATTTAGAGCCAGGCATGAAAAATTTAGGCCTGATGCACATTACTAATAATAATTTGATAGTTTTACCTCTTCAAAAATGTTTTTTTTAAAAAATAATAATGAACTGTTACATTTTTTACACATATATAACAGTTATAGCGATCGCCAAAGCTTGCAGTTTTTATCACCTTAAAACCGGATGCTTAATTGAGGCTACAGTTAGGGGCTAAAACGTAGTTTTATATCTAAAATTGATAACTCAGTTTCTGGGTTTTTTTGTAAATATCGCTCGATTTTGAAGAAAGCATAAATATATTTTATCGCACGTCAATGGTTAGCAAATTTTCTTCGCAATGCGTCTGCAGATTATTACCTAACTACCAAGGACAGATCTTTGTTATGGTTTTTGAGTCAATATTCGCGATTTTTTTTTACATTTTATTTTGGCTTGTATGATATAATTGCAAATGTCACATTTCATATTTATCAAAATCTTTTCGATTTGTTTTTTTCCAAAACATATTTTTATAGCAACCACAGTGTCCTATTAATAGTAGATTAGTATGTTAGTAATTTTAAAATATAAGTTATTTTTTTTAAAAAATTTATAGAAAAATCAATTCCCGCTAGATATTGTATGATAAATTTATTAACATATAAAGAATACAATAAAAAAAATTGAAATTCATTAAAGTTTTTTCGACGTATCATTTATTTTTTTCTTTCAGATAATGATATTTTTCACTATTGACAAAAATTTATTTATTCCCACATACAGGCTCGATCCTTTTGATATGTAGGTTTTAAAAATTTTTCAAGCCCGGCCTGGCCCGAGTTTTTTTTATAAATTTGTCCGGACCGATCGCGAACGGAATCTTTTATCCGTCCTGAAAAGCCCAACCCGTAATAACAATTATTTGTCAGATTGGTCCGGCCCGAATTTATTTAAATATAGAAAATATTTTAAAAAAATTGTAAAATTAATATTCTACAATAAAAAATATTGACGCCTTGTTTCTTGCACAAGAATTTTAAAATATATCAATTTATTTTTACAAAATTAAATGATATCATATTGAAAAATTTGAGTCATACCTGGTCCGCCCGAATTTTTTTAAAAAATAATTGGCCCGACCTAGTCCAAGCCGGAATTATTTTTTAAAATAGACCCGAAGCCCGTTTGAACAGAAACTTACTCGGGATTTGCAGATCTTTATGGGTTGGGTTCGGTCATGTTTCCAGAAATAATTATATTAGGTTTTGTTCAGGTTTAACTTTCAATGAAAGCTGTTAATTCAATAATTATATTTTTTATACAAGATACCCATATATAGTTCATTAAATTTTGTAAATCTTAGTTTATTATAAATATAAGGGGAATTAGAAAAACAAAAACATCACTGTGAAGTTAGCTCCAAAATTTTATTGTCAATTTTTATTTGTAGAAGAATTTTTCAACTACGTAAATTACTGTCGTCATTTACACTTCGAGGAGATGCCCGATTACCTGTACCTAAAAAAAATGTTTCGGACTCTGGGCCACTCCAAAAAATACAAATATGATTATTTGTTCGATTGGAACGTGAAAAAGATGAAGAAAGTTGCCGATAAGAAAGTATTTTACCGTTGCGTATCGCCCACCAAATATTTACCGACTCTCGACAGCATCGAACTGCATATGAATAACAACGCCAATGAGGGGAAAGATGTGGACGAATCAGGGGACAAAGAAAGGTTTAGATAGTTGCTCTTGAGCAATAGGGACCCCGTAAAACAGTTTAATACATTACAAGTTTCATTTCTAATGATACATTAAGTTTGAAATAATGCTTTACGGGATAAAATACTATCAAATATTATTAGTCTACCTTTAGAATTATGCACTTTATAAATAATATGCTTTGAACTCATTCTGTAAATTTTTATGATTTTTCTACTGGGTGTCAACATAATGGATAAATTAATTATTATATCATCGGCATTCATATGTATCATTAAATTATCTCAAAAAATTTAAAGGATAAAAGTGCAGGGTGGTGTCGAGGATACAAATAATTTCGGCCCAAGAAGAACTCACAAAGTTCATAAACACAAACACAACCGTCATCATTACGATTACGATCACGAAAAAATTATCAATTACTCATCAAATCCGATTGTGGACGTTGAAAATCAACCTTGTCCTGATGGTTAAAAATTTTTATTTTGGGACCATATGCACACCGATGGTTGCATCTGCCAATGACCATTTTTTGTCAATACCTTATGAAACAAAATTTTAAAATAAGCTAGGGATTTTTTTATATTAGACAAAAAAATTGAAATAAAATTTTTTTTTTAAATTTAAAACAAGAAACTCAATATTATTTTTTTTTGAAATCTAAAAGTTTTTGTTTCCAAAGATAGTTCTTAAATAAAATAAACTATTTTTTTTTGTTATTTAGAAAATTTTGGTATTTAAACTCGTTTTCCAATAAATCCCTCACGAATTTTTAATTTGTAAACATTTATTAGTGATATAAACTAGACAAACTTAACAATAGAATACTTTTTTTAATAATTAAAAACAACAAATTATTTAGATCACCAATGTCAAAAATCTACCGGAAATATTAAAAAACAACATCGTCATCATATAATTACCGACCTATTAACGAAACCGGAAGAAATTGAAAGCTTTAAGCCCTCGGTTATCCACATTCCCGAGAATCCAAACATGTTGATTGACTCGAGCAATGTGACAACTAACAATGGTAGCAAGGTGACGTTCTTGCCTTCAATTAGACTCAGCAACGCCGAAAATAAAAATGATATAGGTAGAAGTATTAAAAAAAATCAATTTCAGATTGATTAATGATATATCAATGTACCAAAAGCCATTTAAAAAAGTATATACATAATACTGAGCTATAGACATTCTGTGATTTGCCTAATGACTAGACATTTACGTTTTATAGTATAAGTAGATTCCAATATGATTGTGGTATTTTTAGTTTATTATTAATTAATTAGTTTTAAAATAGTTATGTAAAGTTTTTATTAAGAAAGAAAAAGAAGATATTGTTAGTTTTTTAAAATAATATGAAGGAATAAAAGATTATTCAAATCAATTTGGAATAACCATTTAAGTTAAAAGGTAGAGTCCAAAAATTGTTCTAGATCCTGAAAAAATGTTAAGATCCAAATTATGATAAATAAACATCACCTTCCCATTAAGGTAAAAAAAATAATATTGGACTGTGAACCAAGAATTCCACTTCCCTAGCTGTAATAATCCGATCATTCTGATGGTTTTCGTTTTAAATTGCTAAAAACAAAATTGGGAATTTTATCTCCTATAAAATTTTAAAAATAATTGATATTGGGAATCGTTGATTATATTTTCCCTCATTATAGCGATTTTTTTAAAACTCAATTTAAATACAAGTGTTTATACTTCCAACATCTATTATATTACTTTTAAAATTAATTGGTTTTGGGAACCTTGATATTTTCCCCCTTTTAGCGATTTTTTTCAATTTAAATTCTTGTGACTTCCCTAGCATTTATTATATTACCTTTAAAGTTTAATGGGATATAAGCGAGATTTTCAATTTTATTTTAGCGATTTAGAATCGATCCCATTCATATATTCGAGTATTTTAAGTGTTATATAAGTTATAGATGTTAACAAAAGGATTGGTAAGATTCCTACTAAAAATTTTTTATAGATGTCGTCTATGATACCCGTTTTTTAAAAATATGTGTTTTACATGAAGATTTATGTGTGCACACTTTTAATAATTGAATCTCGATGTTAAATTATAATAGATTTTAGTGATAATATTACTCAAGCCTCGAGATTTTCAATAAATATCTAAACCTTTTGCCATCTATGAGCATAATCTCCAGGCTTACAACACTGGTTTGTTATTAATTTTCAATAAAAATTAACATTTAATCCGGATAAGGGGGTCTAGTCACTGGATGATAACCCTATAATTTTAGCAATATTGATCTAGCATTACTTCTTTTTTTAAAAATATTTTAGATATATTATCATATTAAATGAAATTATAAACGAAAGGCTCCCCAGACATCCTTAAAACGCACAAAAAAATTGCACCAGAACACCCAGATACCAGCCATTATTCTACAAAAACAAACGATAGTAATTTTACAAAATAAATATCAAATTATTTTAAAAAAAAGAAAGAAGAATCAAACATATATACATTAATGGTCTGTAATGGGCGGGTTGGTTATAAGACTATGCCGGTATGGCATCATAAAATAGAGCCACTCGTTGGGCAGCCTAGATTAAAAAAAATTAGGCCTTTTAATTTTGCAGGTCTCTAATTTCTTAATAATATTAAAATAATCACTCGTACAAAAGTAGAAGAAAATTCTTCTAATTTCAACATGGAACATGCGGACCTCAACCACATGCGCAAACATGATGGAGAATATTTGTCGAAATTGGCTTACCACAACCATCACCATAACAACGCTCATCAAAAAATATTTCATAAAAAGCATATTACAAATAATGACAACCACTTTACTCTTAAACCTGACCAAACTGAGGTATCTGTTACCATTTTATAATGTTGCTTTTTGATACAAAACGTAAGGTTAACTAAACCCTCATAAGAAGTATATTTTAAAGCCTTAAGAGTAGTGTTGTTAAAAAGCTTGATTCGGGTCGATTTTGAAAAACGATCCAATTAAGATTATAACCAAAATAACATTATGTAAGCCTAAAGATTTTGCTCTTAGCTGTGGAAATGCTTGAACATCTATTTGTCAAATATCAATGCTTACATAGCCAAAATCTTAATCGGGCCATTTTGAAAAATCGACCCAAGTCGGGCTTTTTAACTGAAGGTAACGGTCCGATTTTTAAAAATATATTAATTCATATCGTCGTAAAAAATAAAACCCCACCTTGACCTTCACTACATCAGAGGTAAGATAGTTATTTAATTTTCAATGGAGAAATATTTTAATAGTTTTAAAAAAATTGTACAATCTTATGCACTTATTTTTTCCCCAATAACTATTTCAGCTTTTCTCTACTACGGCTCTTCTCAATGGTGGTTTAGAACGACATTCTCACGATCCAAATTATCGTAAACCCCATCGTCACCATCATATTATGACAGTCACCACGCCCATTCATTTCAACAAATCATCGAATATTATTACTAGCTCTCCCTCGATTACTTTAACTAATACAGTAACCACGGACACAATTATTAATAATATAAAAAATACACCTAGTTCATCTACTACAAATTTTGCTGGCACCCCAAGTCGTTCGGCTCACAGATCTATAATCATTTCTTCTACCAATTCCGTTTCATCACATCTTTCCGATTCTTCTAAAAATGACGCTAATGCAGCACTTTCTAAAGAGGAGGGCGAAAATATAGGGGAAGATAATGAAGGAGCTTTGAATGAAGAAAGGATACAAGAAATATCGGAAGATAAAATTGAGGATGACGCTAATCTCTCTGATTGGCTTAGTAGGGCAAAATTGAAATGAAATAATAACAGAAGTGACGGGGACAACTGTCTGCCAAAATAATAAAAGGTGGATTAAACTGAGATGAATTAAGCCGTATTTTAATTTAGATTGTTATCAAGAAGTCGTTGGTAAATTTAAATTAATTATACATATAATTTTTGCTCCTTAATGATTTTGTGATCGCGAATTTGTAATTTTCTCTATACTATGTTTATTTTTAGGAAGTAGATTTATAAGAAATTAATATTGTTACCATATAAATTATATTACTGTGATTGCGACATTGAAATTATTTTATGAACGAGTATTCATGTTTTTAAAAAAATACTGCCTCTAATCGTTCTTCTACTTATATATTAAATATGCATACTTTTTATGGCACTGATGGATTATGTAAAAGAATTGAGATTAAAAATTTAGTCATATTTTTTTATGTTCATTTCTCTTAAAACGAAATCTCAAATTTTAGTATTTATGCAATTAAGCTTGAGGCATATGAAAACAAGAATCAAAAAATATCATAATTTTATATATATATCTCGACTATATATTTATATACACATTATAGTGAAATATATTTTACATTATAAATAAAAATTCTAATAATTAATTTAGAATATAAGGAAAAAAGATAAATATTATTCAATTAGCATTAAAAAAATGATTAGTTTGTATGCAAACATTAAAAAAAATTTTTTATAATAAAATAACAAATTCATTCAACAAATAATGCATTAAAATCCTATAAAATTTATGAAATCTAATTATTTTTTTCTTAAAAAACGAGAATATATTTAATTGTAAATATGTCCTTTTTCCGCTAAAATATGTTTTTTGGCTATTACCTTATGTTTAACACATTTTAAATAAAAAAAATTGTCTTAAAAATATAACTTTTTTCAATAAAGACGCTCATTTTGATATAATGGGATGGAACAGATAAGATCTTGACTTATTTTCTCTAAATCAAATTCAAAACTTAACATCTAAATTAAAAATGATTGATTTTACACTCATAAAATTGAATTAGTATTATTTAAAAAGAGTATCTGTATTTATAAATATAAGATACTTAATAACACTATAAATTATATATAAATATACAAGTATTCATGATGCTGTCGAACTTTCTGGTGCAAAATAGCCTGTGTGGTAACAAACTGACTTTTTTTGATTCCCCTTCTCCATTTAATGGCTGTTTACCGGGGTTAGTTTTCCCTATGACTTCTCTTCCACATTTTTTAAGGTCCTAAGCGTTATTTGTGATAACTATTTTATTCATATCGTCCCTTATTATTTTTACCCAGGCCACCTCGGGTCTTTCTCGATGCCCAGATCCCTTTACTTATATCAATGCACGTCTCTTTACATAATCATATTTTGCTCCACATGCTTAAACCACTTTGTTTCTATTCCAATCCTTTCTCGCAATTCCGTAACGACTCTTTTTCAAACTATCCTTAACCATATTTATTTTATTTTTTAAAATTATTATTTTAACAAGAAAGATTCGGATTATAATGCAGATAAACTATAAACTTTTAAAGTGAAACTTTTTTTTACAAGTTCTATTTCACATTTTATAAATTAATAATTGACTAAACACAATAAAAGATACCTAATCTAATGGAATTGATAAAGCTCTTTGCATGTTGAGATTTATTATATTTTTTTTAAAATTATCAAATATCAACTAAATAATATAAATGGAATTGCGTAGGGTTGTTCTATCCGTATATTTTATTAAATTAAAACTGAAATAATTTAGGCTAACATAAACATAAATAAATTTGTAATAAATAAAATCTTTTTATACAATAAAAAATATATTAATGAAGGTATAACTATTTCCTCCAATATTGAGCAATTTTGTGTATTTGCTCGACTAGAACCGCCATGACAGCGTTGGCACTCAAATCAATTAAATTTTGCATAAAACTAACGGCTTCTTCGTCCGAAATGTCTAATCGAAATTTTTCATATACCTTTAAAAAAAGGACTTAATGGTATTCATTATATACTATAATCATATTATATTGTTCATCAGATTCCAAAACTTCATTGTTTAAAATTAGATGAGATTAAAATACCAAATTGGCTTTATTTCTAGTCAATTCCAAAAATGGCTAAGCCTGCCATTTCAGCTTGGAGGATCACTTGTGTTATGCGTAATTTATCGCTAAACGACAGCATAGTTGTATAATTAAATTATGCATTACTTAAGCGACACCTCGGTATTTCGTTAATACTATAAACGAGGCCTTAGATTTAGTTTAATTAGCGCTGTCTCTACCCAACTATACTTATAAATGACAATATTTTTAGGAATTCGGAATCAAAATGATAAATAAAAACTAAACGGGAAGTTGGTTCATTATCAAAATAGCGACTAGTATATTAATTTTATCCTGGCCGCATTTGTGAACCCTTATTTTTTTCTTTAGCATACGAGTTTATGAAAAGTATATGTGGTCTGGGTTTCAGATTGTTTTTAAAAAAAATAAATTTTATAACGTGTTTTATTTTTAAATTTTCAAAAAATTATTTAATATAAATTTCCGGTAAGTTCAAATAACTGCCAATATTGTCAGATATTGCAGGGTAAATCAAGCTAGAAAACTATTCCGATATGTGAGCGATAAATGATGTGAGATTTTCCAAACATCTACGTCATATATCAAAAACTCGTCTCTTCAAACAAAAGCATCTCAAAAATTAGATTTACAATGACTGACATGAGTTATCTAAACTTAGAGCTAACCCAAGCTGGGCTAGAATCATAAGTCCACGTTCAGGTATTTACCCATATGGATTTATGAGACATGCTATTTTAATTAATAGTCATGTGTTTCTTATTAACTTAACAAATAAATAAAAATTGCACTTTTTTAACGGTCCTCTCCCTTTCCAAACATATGTCGGGTATATTGGCGTCCAGCATAAGCGAAAAAAGGTTCATGATAAGGTTAGCGTGTCGTCGTAAATGTAAAAATGCGGTGTAACAAAGTTTTTTAAAGTTTTGGTAATGCTTTGAAGTGGTGCCGCCCATAGCTTCCACCATTTCTTTGCTTAATTTCATAGGAGGGGGCATGGGTTTTGGATCTCTACCTAGGATGTACCCGAAATCGATGTGAAACAATTTGCCTTGAAAAGGGAGGTAAAAATATAATTATATAGGAGTTTTTTTAAAAAAGAGAGAAAAGAAAAATGGGCTTTTATTAGCTTTAAAATTTAGGGAAAGAATGATGTCGTTACCATATGAAAGCAACGAGTTTTTTTTATAAATGAACAGTAAATGCCAAATTAAACCATTATACATATTATAATATGTTTTCTTACGGCAATGTGTATATTGTCTAAATGAAACCAAATGTTTTATAATATTTAAGATTAATAATCTAAATTGAATGTAAAAATTTGCTATTAAAAGATAAAATACAATCAGCACTGTTTTTATACAAATTCTTTATTGAATATTAGCAAATAATATCTAGCTAACCAGTTTTAGTGATGAGAAGATTGTCAAAATGCCGGTCCCCTATGCCTAATATATAAGTAATGACACAATAACCAGCGCAACTCTTAATGTACGTTTCCATGACATTGTTCTTGATACCATAAGGATCTTTATCGGATGGGGCGAACCGCCTAAAATAATTTTGAATGCTTCCTTCGTTAGATAATATCTTAATTTAAACATAAAATAACCAGAATGGAAAAGTTTTTAAATTTGAAGATCATGCGCAGGTTTTTAAAAAGATTTGGCAACGTGATTTAAAAAAATACCCAGATTCAAATAGTAGTTTCGAAATGCATAAATATTATAGAGGAAAAAAAAGAAAGATGAGGATATTTGTAATTTACTTCAGCAATAGAGCAAGATTCGATGAATTGAACTAAGCCATGTTTGGTAGAAGTCGCCAAAACCTTGTAAGCAGTTAGTTTGAGATCCAAATTTTCTTGTTGCAGAAGTTTATCCATGAGTTTTATGATTTGTAATATGAGTTGATCTTGACGTAAATCATCTCCATGTTTAAAAATTAACTTGTACTCCTTTGAATCAACTGTTCTAAGAGTTTGTTATGAGATTATAATATATTATAATTTTATTTATTTATGTTATGTTAACAACTTATAAACATAATTGAGTTTAAAATTTTAAATTTAATAACTTTAAAAAACAAAATATATATTAAAAATGCATATCCCAATTGGTGATATAAATACTTATAAAAACTGTTGCTGTATAAATGAATGACTTGAAAGTATATTTGCAAGGCATCAATGCGCTTTTAAATATAAAGGTTTCCTGCGGTATAATGGCTCTAACAGTGATCTCGGGGTCTAAGGGTAGAGGTAATGGGTCAAAATTTGAAAAATTTATCGCTCTTTTGCTATCATTTTCCTCGCATAACAAGGCTATCAATCTTTCTTGTTTTTTTTTCCTTTTCGTATTTATTTAGAATTTCAAAAAAAAATTCAAACTTTTCCAAAAATGATTGAAAAATCTTTTATAAGTAAAATATTTTGTAATTTACATACATTAAAAATTTTACAAGAAAAAATCACAAATTTTTTATATTTGCTCAAAAATTATTAAAGATTTTTTTACAAACTATCGTTTAATGTAAGAAAAAATGAATATTTATTTATAACATTAAATCATATCCGAGTTAACTAACGATAATTAAAAAACAGAAAAATTAGATATTTGTATTTTTTTAAATTTATTTATCGGGCTGGGCTTCTAGTAGGATACATCTTACAACCCAAACCCGAGGAGAAACATTTTTCGACAGTCCGTGCAGAGCCTCTGGGTAAAATGTTCTGCTTAATAGAACTTTCGTATTATGCATTCGAACGACATGCAACCAATTCCTTCTTCAAAAAAATAAATAAATACCGATTAGTATTTTCCTTGGTGACGCAATTAACCACAGTGCACAATTTGTCCACAAAATACTGCTGTCTAGATAAAATCGACCGTCTAAGGAGACCGCGATCCCCTAACCCTACCAATTTTTGATAGAAACGTTTCATAACTGTCACGTAAATTTCCGCGACCCTTTCGGTATTATTATGGCGAATATCTTCGACCTCTTCGTTAACTTTAAAATCTCCACTTCCTTCCGAATTTTCTTTAGAGTCTAATTCATTATTTGAAATACTTTTCTCTTCTACCAATTCAGATGACCTTCTACGAAAGTTTCTAGCTGGACTTTTAATGGCATCAGTGCTAATCATGGTCTGTATTGGTGTAGAAGCAATGGCAGTAGCTTGAAAAGTAACGTTTAAAGAGTTTTGGTTGTGTAAGGAAGTTTGTTCCTCACATTCCACGTGAAGATACCAGTAGAAATAATTTGCAAGAGTGCTATTACGAGAAGCTCGGTCGATTAAAAAGGTTGCCAAATCTTGCGTTTTAAGAAGCGACGTTTTTGACGATGTTTCTTTGTCCCGTTTGTAGGTCTCGTCATTATTATTAGAATTGACACTTTTATCCTCATTTGCATCAGATGGTTTATTTTCTTGGGACGTATCAGCATCAGCCATTGGCCCAATATTTGAATCAGATATAGGCATGAGTCCACTTTTTATGTCATTTAAGTTTTCGTAACGCAAGGCCTGAACAAGTTGTAGTAAGTAGGATGAAAGATCCTTCGAAACAAATATGTAATAAACCATCATAAAATAAAAAAATAGATAGCCTTATCTATCTTATATCATTATGATAAAAAAACTATAAACTTCATCTTTAGATTTTGCTAGGCGTGAAACCGCGTATTTTCTAACGGCCTTCATTCTAAAGCGAGGAGTTAAAAGTTCTAACGCATTCTCGACGTCCACAGGCTGCCTTAATTCATTAGATAATAATAAATAGATAACCTCAAAAGATAATAAATTTAACCCAACCTACCAAGTGGGAAAACCCATTTCGGCATTTTTTTAAAATTTATCTTATTTATTTTTTAGTATGGGTGAGAAATAATTAATTTAAAATGACAGAATTGTAAAATGATCAAAGAATTCTCAAAAGGATTTAGATTCCAAACCTTTTTTGTAAAAAATCTTTCATGATTGAAATCAAAAACTTTTCAAAATTGGATTTTGATCTTCTTTATAAAAAAAAGCATCAATTTTGTGATCTCCCAATTTTTTGCTCAAAATTTTTGGCGAAAAAAAAATCTTTAAAGATTATTTTTCAACTCCTGAAAATAAAATACAATATAACAATAATTTATTCATAGCAATGATTAAATTCAAAATTGCAATAAATATTTCCAAAACCCGACCCAATCAAAAATTTACGGGTTTTCATGAAGCCCTTTGATTTCTAAATCTGTTTTAAATTAATTTATAAAGTTAATTTTAGATACCTATTAATAATTTATATAAAATACAAATCGATGATCCCGTATTTGAATGGAAGTGATATTTGTAACCATGAGTCAAGATTAAAGAGGAGATTACGACTCGAGATTTGACAGAATTTTGAATGATTTTATAAATCGGGAAATTAGGAAATGGAAGTGGATCAAATGGCGGTTACATCATTCAAGTGGCCTCAGAGTATCACATCATCTATTTATACCAGGTATGAATAGGAAGTTTGCATATGGCAGTAACGTTTTTGACCATGTGATTAATGCTTATGCAGGAAAGTATGAATCAACTTGGATCCTTTCTGATTATGAAAACATATATTCATGAATTTGGAGCAGAAATTACGGGGAATAGCACGAGTAAAAAAAAATTGAGTTGGGAAATCAATGGTATATTTATGAAAGAAAATGATAGCTGCGAATAGAATTTGAAAGCGTTAAAAAATAAATTTTAACTAGGATTTCGTCGCCAAGATTGCTTGATATAGATGCTAGTAGTTTATATGGCTAATTTGCCCCCTTTGTTTTCCGATGTCGAGATGGTGTACTATAATGGTGGCTGCAGTCATTAATTTTTGAAGATATTATTTTATTCACCACAACTCTTCACTAGGCTATGATGGTCTTCACCCAATCTTTCTCTAAAGACCTCACATCTCCCCTCATAGCCTTGTACCATCTATTAGCTAACTCTTCAGGCTTGCGTAATATTTTTCTGATAAAATATTGAGTTAACCATTTTTAAAAAAAGGCGAGAATCGAGCCGTTAAACAAAACTATTCATGAGGTTGTTCCCAAATCCATTAGATCACTTCTATTTGGCGCCAAGATAATCGTTCTTAAAAAACCATCTAAGAACGTTAGACCAATCGCAATTAGGCAGTAATTCACCGTCTTGTTTTCTAAAATTAAGGACATTGCAGCTATTAACACCCTACCAACTCGGTATTGGTATCAACAGAAGTTGCGAAATAACCCCACATCCTACTCAATCCAATATGTGAATTCATAATTAAAATTGATTTTTCCAACGGTTTCCATTCGCCGCTCTTATTTTCTTCCACAAATATATCATCTATTTCCTACTTATTCCCAATTCCTCCACTCCTGTTATTCCCCACCTATTATCATCTCCAATTCAATGAATTTCTGCTTTCATCGTCAGAAATTAACTATCCATCATCAAAACCCACTTCTAATTGGACTTTCAATCAAAGAGCAGAAAACTGAGCTCTGTCATATCCCCTTCAACCATAATTTTCATAAATCAAACTTTTGTCCCTACCCCATTTCGATTCTCCAGTTAGCAGTCTAGAATCTATCAACACCAATTAAAATATTTATCCAAATTCCCATATCATCAAGTTCTTTTCCTTCTTAAAAACTTCTCAATATTCCAAAAATGGTGTACTTTTTCAGAAACATTCCTCCTTTCTTTCTTTTAATACTACTGTTCTTTTTCAAAGTTAGGATGATTCTGGAAAAGAAGTAATTAAAAAGCTATGAATTTTAAGCAAAATATAAATTACCATTCATTCATTAATTGAAGAGCCTGCTTAGATTCGTAGGGATTATTCCATTTGACGCTTTGCAATAATTTGGATAGAGCTTTGTTATTCTGCTTTAAATGATACCTGAAAAATATTGAGATTAATATTTTTAATAAAAATTTATCAATATCCAAATTATATTACAATGGCAAAACTACTCAAAAGTAGAAGGTTAACAGCCTAATTTGGATTAAATTTATAAAAAAAACTTTTTAATTGGAGTTCATTAAATAGAGAACTTTTCTCAGATTCTTAATTCTATATTTTTGCTAAAAATTAATTTAGGAAGTCTAATAATTTTGATTAACGTTTTCCTGATAAAACTTATGTCCCATCCCTGATGCCCTATATTTATTCCTTAATTAAAATTTATAAGCATTATCTATTGACCTTTAAAAAAATATCTGAAGATTTTCATATATTTATCTATGATATATATAATCATTAATAAAGAATGAATAAGGAAAATTATATTTGACTTGATCACCTTAAAATTAGGTCTAGAACTCTTTTTTTTAAGTAAAGATAAATTATATTAGGGGTGTACCGATACCACTATTTGGAGGCCGATCCGATCCGATATTAAATTGATATCGCCCGATAACTGATCCGATATCATATCTAATTTTGTATTCTGTAAAGATACCGGTTTTAATTTTTAATATACTTTTTATTAGTAGAGCATCTATAATTTTACTATACCATAACATATGATTTAAATATATTATAATGATCAGTTATAATTTATATTCAATTCAATTGCTATTATTTATATAATAAGTAATAACATTAATCTATTTACATAATTAGTAATAAACAAATATATTAAATATATCGAAGATTTCTTTTTAGAAATACCAAAATTTCCAATTTATCAGAGATGATGGGGACTGTTAATATCACTAGCATCACTAAAAACAGATTCTGAAGAGATTAATGAACACTTTTTTAAACAGAATGCGAAAAAAAATAATTATATTGCAGAATGTTTATTAACTAATTATTACTATTAAAAAAATTAAACATAAAAATATATTTCGATTTTATTTATAAAAATAAATGGTTTTTTAGATATAACTTTTTTTAAATTTTGTTAAAAGCGCCATTTTATATTGGATCAGAAAATTTTATAATATTTGCCGATAACCGATATTTTAAAATGAGCGAAATATCGACCCGATCCGATATAAAATATCGGTACATCCCTAATTATATTTTTTAAATATTTGCAACAGGATGAAAAATATCAAATGTGGAGAGGGGCGATTCCCAACCCTATTCCTCTTACAATAATAAACATATTTAAATTGTTACATATATTGTTGTTAAGTATTAAGACTTCAAACATCTTATTATTAATTGTCAGTAGAGCTCCCCATCTAACAATATATTTATTAATTAACAAACCTATATTTCCACACTAAATCTTGTTCTTCACTATTTAATATAGCAAAAGGAGGGTAGTTTACAATGTTCAACAATTTATCTCTAACCACAGTGGAGGGTTTTAAGTCCAAATCAGAAGATATGCTGTTTGAACCTCTAGTCAATGCATGATGTTTAAATTCAGACAAATTTTCTTTGCCTTACAATAAATTTAATTATATAAAAATAATATTATATAAGAGATTCAAATTAATTAATAAGGCCATTTTTAAAAAAATTACTTATTTGAGGGTCTGGAATTATGACAAATTTTGGATTTTTAATCTGATATGCAATATCATATCCTTTATCATAATACACTACAGATATATGTTGATTATCACAACTAAATGGGGGGAATTCCACTACCAAGAATATTGAATCACACATCTTTCTTTCTTGCTCATTTAATATTTCAATTTCTCTAAATGTCAAGCGGTCTAACCATTCAACCTTTGGAAAATCTTTATCACTTTTTATTATTTTTATTAAAATAATTATGTAAAATAGTAGAACCGTTATAGATAAAAATTAAAAAAATGTATTACTATAATATGGATAAATATAAATAATAATTAAAGGTTGTATTTATTATAAAACCAAAATATTTATTTACCGGTATTGTTTTTTGATATCAGTCAATTGAGAGGATTTAGAGATATTGACTTCATTTTCATTTAATTTTAAGTCCAAAACACCTTGTTGTAGCAGACCATTAATTTCTATAAAAATTTGATAATGTAAAAGTAAAATAATTATACCAAAAATATCAACTCTAGCTTCTCCTATAGATATATCTTTAAAGGCACCATTGCAATCCCATATATTAAAAATAATCTTTAAATTAAGGAATATAAAATAAAATTTGATTAAAATGTACTAACTTGGGCATCAATTGGAAGTTGGGAATAATAAATAGGCAAAAATACAATTTCATTCCAACTCCATCTATTATTAAAATTTTTATAACTTGTTTGGGAGATCAACGAAAGTGGCTTTTCTAATAGAGAATTTAATAGAGCTGATTAAATATATTATACCTTTCAAAAATACTTGAGCAGTTACAAATAATTCTGATACATTTTCATCATATATATATATGGAATCTAATATTTTGCTAGAAAAGGTTTTCTTAAAATAGCTTTTTGTTAGATTTCCTTCAATCGTACCAATTTTAATTTGGAGATTTATATCCAAATCACAACTATAAACATAAGAAAAATTTTTCAAATTGTCCCTTTCCATATGATTATGGAATATACTAAAGATTGTCAAATTTTGAAGAATGACACAATGCTATCTGTCACATGTGAGATTATGAAAAGCAAGGCATAGGGAGAGGGTGGGAGAGGGATATAAATAATTATTATAAAAAAATAATAATTTAAAAAACAAATAAGAATTTTTAATTTTAAACGATCACATATTTTAATATATTTAAAAAATTCTGTCATGCCTAGGATTAGGGGTGGGACCAATCCCAATATAATATTGGTTTACAATACCAATACCAATATAAACCAATATATATTTAAATATTGGTATTGCTTTTACAACCAATACCAATACCAATTACCTAAATATATTGGTTTTGATATATTGTTTAAATACAATTTTAACCAATACCAATACCAATATTAAAAATATCATAATTATTTGGGTTTATCGTGGATAATTATATCGTGGTATTTTTTTTACTTTCATTGCAAAAACTGATTACATCTGTTATTTCTTCCAAATACTACTGTGATATCAATATTTCTGTTATTTATAATTATAGTTTATTTTTATTATGGAAGTAAATTTTTTACATGATATCTATCAATTTTATCTATTTATTTAGGATATTATAATAAATGAAGACCAAATAGAGTTAATAAATATAGATGCTGTTGGTACTAATAATAATAGCGATAAGGAACAAGAAGAATTATCAATATCTAATAAAAGACGAAATTCAGCAAAAATCTGGGAATTTTATACTACTTGTGATAATAAAAAAAAGGCAATTTGTAATAAATGTAAAAAAAAATATCACTTCCCAATTTTGGAACCTCAGGATTATGGACACATCTTAAATCCATCCACCCAACATTATATAAGAAATGTGAGCAAATAAATATTGGCAGTAAAAAAATTAAGACAATAAAATCATTTTTACTTAATAATATAAATAATAAAGCTAATTTAAATAATTTAATTGTAAACTTTTTCATTCAAAATAATTTAGCCTTTTCAATAGTTGAGGATATCACTTTTAAAAATTTAATAGCATATTGTAACCCTTCACTAACATTAGTTTCTAGAAAAACACTAAAAATAGAAATTATGAAACATTATCATAGTTCTTTTATCAATTTAAAATCTGTACTTTCTAACATTACATCTAAATTTTCCTTAACAATAAACATTTGGTCCTCTCCAAATAAAATACCCTTTATGGGCATAACAATTCATTATATTGATAATGATTTTAAATTAAATAATCATTTATTACATTTTGATACAATTTATAATTATAAAAAATACAATACAATATAAAATGTAAATTTAAAAATATCGATGGCTCTAAAAAGAGCTTATAGTAAAAATGTACCTAAAAAACATGTATAATTATGTTTAAAAATTTCTAATTGTATTTTTTGTTTATTCCTTTTAAATCAGCACTTCTATTAATATTTTTAATATTTTTAATTCTGTATTAAAAGTAAAATTTGAAATTGATTTTTTTTGCATTACATTAGACAATGCAATTAATAATTTTGCATTTCTAAAAATTTTAAAACAAAAAGATAATTTTGATAATGTGTGTGTGCAAATGCTTTTGCCATATTATACATTTGGCTGTCATGGCTGCATGAATACAACTTTAAAAAAAATAAGAAATTTTTTAAAAATTTTTAAACTTTCTATATCTAAATTTAATAAACTCGAAAAAATATATCTTGAAAAAAATCCACACTTAAAATTTCCTCAAATTTTGGATATACCAACACGTTGGAATTCAACATACCAAATGCTTGAAAGAGCAATATTGCTCAAACCCTATTTGACAACAAATACCAATCATTTACAAAATACCAATCAAGAAAATTATATTAGTGCCTTAGCCTGGAATAATATAGAAATATACCGAGAATTTCTGGAACCATTTAATTTTTCTACAGAGATGGCCTCATGTACTATTACTCCAACAATTTCAACAATTATTCCTTTATATTCCAGTATTTTTGAGCATGTGGAGAGTTATATCCTAATGCTATTTTAAAATAGCTTCTTTAGCTGCCTTAACAAAACTTAATAAATACTATAATTATAATAAACACCTCTTTATTATTTCAACAATGATTGGCCCAAGATTTAAACTATCAAGTCATTTATTAAAGCATAATAATATGGAAACTCTTATTGGATATCTTACTAATGAATACAATATTTATAAAATAAATAATCAAAAATTGCCAGAGATTAACTAGCAATTCCGGCCACCTCATCTAGCTCTGAAAGGGCTTTTTCAGAAGGACGGTATGTTATAACAGACCAACGTTGTTCACTAGATGAGCATACTATACAAGCTTGCTTGTGCCTAAAAAGTTAGATGCGCATGCAAGATTCTTCTTAAATACATAAAATTATTTCCTCTTCTTATATTAAAATTATATCATTATTTTGCATTATATTTTGTATAAATAGACAGCTATGTTACATTTTTAGTTAACTTATTTTGCTATGTTCTTTGTGATAAATAAAATGGTTCAAAATCAATACGTTTATTATTGTTGATACAAAAAATACAAGAATAAATCAAAATTTTTTATATTCACATCACCTAATAAAATCCTAGTTTAAAAAAAGAATTTGAATTCAGTAAAATTTTGAGAGTTGGTTCTTAGCCCTGATTTTATGGTATCATGATTTTTTTTCCCATGTTTATTTAAAATTAGAAATTAAGGGTTTTATAATCACTATTTCTATTCTTTTAATTAGTAATTTGAATTTAAACCAATACCAATATAAACCAATAGTTACCAATATAAACCAATACCAATAGCAATACCAATACAAGAAATAGAAAATATTGTTTAAACCAATACCAATATTTTAGACCCAATACCAATACCAATACAATATTTTGTTAATATTGGGTTTTTACTATTGGTTCCCAGCCCTACCTAGGATGGAGATAAAATTAGATCTGTATATCTCGAAAGATATATTTTAAAAAACAATTATAAATTTAATAAAATAATTTATAATGTTAAACATTTTAGATATTTATAAATATAATAAAATTTATATTGTTATAGTTGTGAAAATTTTTATTTATTTTTAATAATTTATTAAATAAAAGAACAATCGTTTAATTTTGTAAATATAAACAGCATGGATATACGAAAATCTTTTACACATTGTATTAATTATATATTTAAATTATTTATAAAATTTATGTAATTCGAAATAGAACAGCCATCAGTTGATTTGATTACAAAATCTTCAAATGACGTTGGTAATGGTATTAACTTAATATATCTTTTATTTAAGTCTTTCAATTAGAAATACAAGTAATAATATACCCGGAAAACAAATGATTTCAATTAAAGTAAAGATTTATTAGTTACCATTTTATAATAAAAATCTTTTATTTTCTTTTGTCGTTTATTGTTGATTACACTTGAAACGCGACAAATTATTAAGAAAATCTCAGAGTTATAAAAATTTTTGACAGAATAGAGTATTCGTTTAGAGCAAAAAGTGCTCTGCAGGCCCTTTCCATGTGCAATTGCACTTTAGATTCCCCTGCCTAATATCCAAACATTGTTTTTTATTTTAGCTACCTTCCGGATTAGTATCTGCACTAATGAAAGGTATTTTCAATTTTAAAAAGTCTAAAAACCTATTTAAGAAATAGCACAAGTGAAAACTGTTTAAATATATTATCCCTATTAAATATTCATATAGATGAAAATTATATTCAAGATGAATTAACTAAATCTCAAAAAAAAGTAGGCCTCTCTTTATAAACTCAAAACATAAAATTGCATAGCAATTTGATTAGAATATGTTCTTTTAGTCATATAATTTTTATATGCAAAACTATTATGATAAATTTTTACTCATGATATTTATATATTTTTTATATTATACTATTTTTAATGAAAGTATTGTACAATAAAAATTATTTATATTTTGATAATAATAGTCATTTGTATTAATTGTGATTGTTAAATTTATTTTATAAAATACCGTTATTTGCAACAATAATTACTTTGTAATTTTATCAATAAAATAAATACATAGTTAAATAAAGGGATGTTATTTAAACTAAAATATTCTAATAATAAATAATAAAATTTTGTTATATGCAAAAATTTAATCAAAATAATAATTCTTAACTTAGAATGAGACATATAGAGTGATTATAAAAAATGGGAGGTTTGGGGGACAAATTTCCTTTTCTTTCTACACCGAATGGATTGAATTAATTTACTATTGAACGCTAAACATTAAAAAAAAAATCAGAATAATGCATTCAGTCGCTTATTAATCATAAATTTGGCCAAGCTTCGTTACTAATATTTTTTATATTTTGTGCTTTATAGTGATTAGGCACTATAAAGCATAAAATATTGGTAAATTTTAGAATTAGTATATCCAATTGTTCAGCCAACTTTAACAAATATGATATATTGATAACTACTGGAAAATTAATATTATATAATATATTTTAAAGACCCGACCGAACGCTGGAGAAAATGGGATTCGGGAACGAAAACCCCCCAAAAAAATTTACCCCCCCCCTCTATGGATAAATCCTGGCTGCGCATTTTGTGAATATTATTATATAAAAATGAATAATCAAATAAAGTGTTCTCGCACTATTATTTTTATCTAACACAATAGATAAAAAAATAAAATGAGGCAATTAAAAATATATCAAGGAGTAAGTTTAAAGTAACTGTAAGTAAGAATAAAATTATAATTTATAATGACAAAAGAAAAATATATCAAGGAGTAAGTTTAAAGTAACTGTAAGTAAGAATAAAATTATAATCTATAATGACAAAAGAGCTTTTCGCAAATATATCGATCTTTGGGAAATGTTGTTATCTTATGATTAGTGTATCAAGCCATATGCGTAGTCACGGGAGGGGGAGAAATATTTCTCACCTGCAGAAATTCAAACCAATTTTACTAAAATGTCATTGTCAAGGCTATGAATATATTATATTTAAAAATTATGGGCC